GGAACTTGAGAATTTTGAGTTTCAAGGGGGAAAAAGAAATAAAAAGTCTGCTGTGATGTGCAGATATCTAGACTCAATTTCTGTGCATTCTCACCAGTCCTTCCTGCCACCATCCTGGAAAATTAAAGAAATTAATGTAGAAATCTTCCCAAGATTTTAAATACTACTTATATCAGAAATTCTTGACCCTACAAAGGGCCATACTGTGCCTGGGAAATCTAAACATTTCCATTTAGTTCCTGCCCAAGAGCTACCATTTCTGTGATTCAACCTAAAACCTCAGGACTTCCACCTTTATTCCACCTTTCCAGTGAGGAACTGAAGCTAGAATCTTTTATCTGTGTTCATAAGCTTTGAGGAAATTTTGATCTGAGCCTCTGTTTTTCTGGTCTACCTTAAGGGTGGGAGGGAGACAATTTCTATGAAGACTAATAGTCTTTGAACTAAAAGTCTGTTTTAATTAACAAGGAATAAACTATGTGTTTCTCCTGTGCAGCCTGCTACAGATGAGAAACAGGCAGTGGAAGAAAATTTGCTATTCTGAAGTGCAGGCAACTGACTCACCACAATGGGTGACACTCGCCTCCATCCTCTAATGAGCTCACTACCATAATGATTTTCTGTAGCCTACAAGCCAAAACAACATTAAACACTATACAACTTTTTCTTACTCTAGGAAATTACTGTCTAACAAAACAAATACCATTCCATTAAAACTGATAGCTCTTAATGCCACATAGGAAGTCTGCATGCCAAGTTACTGCCATCCACTGTCAGTTACCTCTTTTTTACCTTATCTGTACTCACTAAACAACATTAAACCAACATATATGAGAAAGTATAAGAAACTAAAAATCATATGCCCTAGAACATATAACGTATTACTTCTAAAACTTATACCATTAAAAAGCAAAAATTATCTAGAAATCAACACTGGAGTAAAATACAGATCCTGGCAACTGTACAAATAAGCATTTCAACCTTTCGATTTTTGTTTTCCAGAAAATAAATGTTAATGCACTTGAACCTTGTGTAACAGACCAAAACACAGCAGGAAAATAAATTAGCCCAGTAAAACTGTCTGAGCACAGAATTACAATGGAAAAGCTCATTTCATGAATGATAAATATCTCCAAGTCCTCTTTTGCATTCCCAAGCAAGCCAGTTTAAACAAATTTTCTGCCAACATTTCCAGGAAAAAAAAAAAAAAAAAAAAAAAAAAGATATGCCTGTCTGAAGGCATCTTCTTCAGATACTGTCAACAAGACAAGCAATGCTAAATAATGATGTTCGCACATCACATGCTGATAGCTTTTATTATAAATAGATAAAGCATTCAGTGGTACAGTTTGTACATGTTACCCAGCAGCAAGAGAGAGAACTTTCAAAACTGTAGCATGCTCTGACTTCTACAGTGTATTCAGGTGAGCAAACTGCAATACAGGACACATGTCCAAAGCTTCTACAAAGAGAGGCTATAATCCAAGAATACATGATAGGAAGAGATTGGGAGTTTCCAAGTACTGTGTCAGTGAACAGCTCCAGTAAAAATCTTTCCTACCCAAAGAGAGATGTGGGCTCAGAAGAAATTGAATACAATCCTTATCAGTCCAATCAAGCCTCTTGCCCACATATTTCTGCATCTTGAATATTTTGCTAACTTTTAACACTTTTTCCAGAGTATTACTCTTCAGCACTGCCACCTCTTCACTACCACCTGACCATTGGCTGGTGACTTTGCAATGATGTTTAGGCCCTCATTCTTAAGTCACCCTTCTCCTGCACACTTCATCAGTTTGACATGGGCCTGAAAATTATACTCTGTTGCTTGGTACAACTAAACCAAATAAGCAAGTTGACATCTTTAATTAAAGGTTTTCAGTTATGCCTCCTCACTTCCTATTAGGATACCCTGACCTCTTAGCAAATGGGGAACTGTCTGTATCTGCCCAAACTATGACTAACAACCAGTAAAGAGCAAATGGAGAGAACTGCTCACCACCACATCCCAACAGAGTACACACAACTGACCCTAAGGACCCTACAGATTTCCTAAGCCCATTGCTAGGAATTTATGTTCCTGTAAGGGACAAAGTTTGTTGCTTTCTATTTAAGAGACAGTTTAAAGCACATATAAATAAATACATAAATAAATATGTATTCATGCTGTTCTTAAAAGTAACCTACATTTTTCTTATGAAAGAAAAACATTAAACCAAAACAGTTTTCGAGGACAGAATTTGTGTGCACCTATCTTTTCTGCACATTAATGATTGAGGTTATAAGTAAAGACCAAATGCTGTTTCCAGCCATGGGGACCTATTCCCAAGTGCACTTCTGAAGAATAATCTCTATTAAGGAATAAGCAGCCATGCAGTTATCTGCTGTAAGCTAAAAGGTATCTTAGCATATTCTGGACTATATGCTGTCTTGTTTGCTTTAGAATTATTATTTCCTAGAAAAGCATTGGGCAGTTTCTGTTAGTCTAGATGATGCCTTTGGAGCACCTACTAAAAACAGGTTTTGATTCTTTTACTAATTAGTAATTACTTTTATTAACGGATCAAAACCAAAAATCACAGCAGCATACTTACTTTATGCTCTGGGTAAAGACAAAGGAATTAATAGTTTACTCCCAGCCCCTTCCATGAAAGAAATAAAAGTTTGTTCTAACAGTAAGTTCTTTTTCACATTGGATCCTTGTCTAACCTAAGATAATGAATTAATAAGAGACCAGTTTAATTTCTTCAGCCAATATTACAGTGCTTTCTCTACACCAGTTTCCTTCGACTACAGCGAAGTATGGATTAAGTGATGACTGCAGACAGAGTGCATAGCCTGAGGGAAAGAAGAAAGAGAAGCTGAGATGCACATACTGCTTACTTCAAATCCCATGTTTATATATTTATAAAACTAGAAAAGACACTTCTATGGAAAAGTACCAGACCCTGCTAAAATATACCACTGGGAATACTAAAAGAAGGCTTAAATCATTACAAAGTACCCAACACGGAAAGACTTGGGTGAGCCAAGGGCTGACAAAGTAATAAGAAAATTCAGCTACAAGGAGCAGAAGCTTTTGTTCTCTGTTTTGGGACAGAAAGAAAATTAGATCTGCCTGAGCAAGGGACAGATTTAAAAAAACGCTCCTCAGGGAAGTTTGACTTAATATAGTTTACTTTATATAGAGGCTGGTTGAGAGTGCACACCAATCCTCAGTTTGACCCAGCTAACATACAGAATTTGCTATGCCAAGGAAAGAGATTTCTTGCAATCAGGATGAAAATATTTTCCCATGCATTCCACAGTAAAACCACAGGTGCCATATTACTCAGTCTTTTGTCAGAGAGGGGTTTCAAAAAAGGAAAACAACATAAAGCCCATAACCCTAAGAAAAACAATGAAATTGCCTCCTTGAGGGAGTCATTAGCCTAGGTATTCCAAACCTTTTCAAATACTCATGGCATAATAGGTTGCATAAGATTACCCTACTTCCAAATACATCCACTAACCTACAATAATTAACGTTAAAGAAACTACACACATTCAATAGCTTCCACTATTTCTGTTATTTCCCCTATTTGTATATACAAATGTACCTGAACTGCATACTATATAAACCTCACTGCCCCTTATTACAGCCAGATCAACTGAGATACAGAAGCCAAGAGCTTTGGATTTATCAAATTCAGCTCCATTGTAGACTTTGCTGTCTATGACCCATTAAAACTGTATGCGCTCCTTCTCACAGCCAGGCTGTGCAGGAGGGAAGTGCCTAATATCAACAGTAGCCACAGACAAGTTAATGCAAATACAGTATAAAGCTTTTTAAATCTCACACTTGCATATTGATGGATGGATGGCTGGGCTAATCTTTCTACTCTGCTACCTAGTCTGGCAGCAGAAAATAGATGGCTTGCTTCGTTCCCTGAAAACCGTGATGTTATAGTTGCTGAAGTTTTCTGGCCAAATGAATAGAATTAAAGGTAAAAACTGCAGAGGAAATTTTAATTGTTCAAGAGTTCCATAGAATTGCAAGAACTGACAATAAACTTTTTGCTTCCAACTTTTCACCTTTAGAGAAAGGGATGCACACTTCTTTTCTGCTGAGACAATATCACAAATGTTAGCAAGTAATCCCCTTAAACCCTAAGGTCTAACCCTCTAGGTCTGAGCAAGATGATGAAATTATGAGAAACAAACTTCATCCTTCTTTAAAACCTAAGCTAAAATAATTTCATTTGTGCCAGATCTCTGAAATGTCAGTACTTTCCAAAAGAGCAATAGTGGTTTAATGGCTTTAGGTTGCAATTGCCTAAATCTTCTAAAATTATAAACAGGGAAATAGAATTTCCCTTCCCTCCTCTTTGCCCCTGTAACTCAGTAACAGGCTCATACTCAGCAAAATATTTCCAGCCTCTGCTGAATAAACTATTTTTCTGATTTGTTAGGTACTTCATTGTTGAATGCCTGCTCTGTCAGTTGCTACTCTTGCTAACAGAGCACTCTGCAAGGCTTCTTCTGCTCCGCTCTTGCAGCTCAGTGAGCTCCAGAACACCCTGATGACATGCCAGAATTGTACCAAGTTTAAAATAGAATATCACACAGATGCATCAAGATCTGTTAGTCATCCTCTTAACAGCTCTACCACGCCATTAAGAACTAAAGAAACAAATGTGAATTAACTTATCTTAAGAATTCCGTATTTACATGACAAAAAGGCTGGTTCTACTAATATCAACCTCCTCTTACATGAGGAGATCTTTGATGCTGCAATCATCTTTCACATAATGCATTATTACACATTTCTTCATACTCTGGGAAAAAAAAACCAACCAACCAAACAACAACCCCTCATTTTAAACCATGTTATCTTACAGTTTATGAAAGATTTCTGTAACATAACTCACCAAAGAGCTACTGGTATTGCATAGCCTTCATAAAAACTAACATTTACCCAAACTAATTATTTTTAGCATATAATAAAATAAAGATATTACCTGCCACTTCTCTGAAGTGCAAATATGATGCCTTTCTCCTGAAAAGGAAGCAGTTTCTTTCTTAGTCTTTCAGGTAGAAAGGACAGCATAGCATCAACATTTTCTGAAGAGGGAGCTTCATGTGTAGGTGTTTCCTGGAATGTACTAGCCATGTTGAACCTAAGGGAAACAAAATGAAAAAGAGATGTTTTACTTAAAAGACAGGTTTGCACTACAAGCTTCATGGAACAATAATCACCACTCCATCTTGAAATGTCAGCCTCCACACAATTTTTTCTCAAGTCTTGAGAAGTCTCCCTAGAAAGCATAAAACTCTGCAGATGATGAAGAGCCCACCACCTCCGTATTGATAAAATATTCTAACTATTCCAGTATGAAGAGGTTAGCATGTATCACTATAGTTACTTAGAAAGTTCACTATTAATGGATGAAAGTTATTACAGACATTGTAATATAACTCTTCCAGTAAACATTGTTCAGAAAAGTTACAGGACAAAAAGGCTATTTAACCTCCTGATGATGGAGATAATAGTCCTCTAATATTTTTAATCCTAAGAATCAAATCGGGAAAAAAAAAGGAAAAATAAACCCAGTTTGGGCAAAAGAAAAAAAAAAGAAAAAAAAAGTAAAGAACTTTATTCCCCTCACAAACAAACAGCCTTAAACAACAGAATTAACGACAACTGCCATACTGTGCTTCAGACTGAAAATGTGGATTCTTCATGCACTTTTGTCCAAAGGGACAGGGCCAGAGAAGAAATACTAGCTTTTGTTCTCTTATGACTTCAATAGACTTGAACTAAACAAACAAATGGTTAAAAATCTCAATAGCAGTGCACTAACTAAACATGAGGAAAGCAACAAGCCTTTACATCAAAGCATTACCTAATTATTTTGGATTTGTGGCCTGGGTGATGGGCAGAATTACCTTAATGATCACAGGAACCAAGATTATCAGGAAAACACGGTTTCTAAATTAACAGTAGTTATTGTAGCACCAGATCTGACAGCAAAATTCTGAACGCATTGCACTCAGATTTTTTGATACTGATGTATTTCTGAAGCAACTTAGAAGAAGTCAGATATGATTTGCTGGGACGAACCATTATATTCACAACAAGAAACGTGCTGAGCTAAACAGACATTCACATCAAGCATGTGCAGGACTATGTAACCTCTTTTTTGACACTGACTGGTTACAAAGTAAGAGAGACCTGGGGACAATGCAAATGGTTAAACTAATCAACATGATAAAGCATGATTATGCAAAACGGAATTTGCTTCTAATGACATGGAGTACTTGTGAGCAGGTAAACCAAACAGATTTATTCAGGTAAAACTATATCCCACAGTTAAAGAGCAGCATCTCTGTAAGACTAAAGAATTCTGCTTATGAAATTCTAGCTACAAAACTTGATATATGTTCTTGCAGCTGAGGTTACATTCTCTTCAGTGAAGAGAATTTAGCTATAACCGCACTACTGCATTCTGTCCCTCCCTCCCTCCCTCCCTCCATCTATCTCTCCATCCATCTGTCCCCCAAGCTGAAAGAGCTTGGGCTTCTGTTCTAGCGGAATTCCACAGACATCCCCTAACAGCCCGTGTTCCAGGAGCCCCCTTAGCCCACCGCCGACGGGAGCAGGTTCCTCCGGGCACCGTCCGGGCCGCGCGCGGCACGGGGCGCCAGGGGCC